GACGTAAAACTCGATCTATCTCCATTAGGTAAAGCCCATCTAAACATGAATTTTGAATTAGCAAAGATTAAAAACAAGAGAGGAATTCACAAGAAAGGTAATAGCTTCTTAGAATGTATGAAATTTCAGCGAATGGAGAATTTTAACATATGCATATACAAAATGATTTAATTTAACACTAAATTTAGGCTCTAGTCTACTTATTATAGAAACAATTTTGGGATTTTCAATACAATTAGATTTTCCGATCTTACTGATAGCTCAAGTTTAGCAACAACAGTCGACTTCAAAGACCATAGAAGAAAAAATTGGAGAAATGTCATTTTTTTAGTAATTGATAAACTAATCATACATCCTAATCTGAAGATTCAAGAAAGAGTACCATAATTGGTCCATGGCACAAGGCACCGAGCACAATGTTCCAAATCAAAAGATCTTGACGGATATGGCAGCGGATAGGTCCTTAGAATACCGAGCATAGCTGGAAGCCCTCTTTCCAAGGCAAATTGTACTTGAGCTTCATGTATATCCCTGGGCACAATTGACATTGTCAAGATGTCATAATCCATTAAAGCGGCTCCAAAGCTAGCAACCTGAGGAAAAGGTCAAAGTTACATAAATACAATTCAAATAATCGTTACTACTAGTTCAGTTGATTGGATCTATTGGAGTTGCACAAGAGGTCCCACACAGTAGGGGGGGAAGGATCTAGTTAATCTTATTCTTTCTATCTTAACACTTCCTAAAAAGTTGAATTTATATTGAAATCCCTTCCGAAACTAGATAACTAATACTGAAAACCGTCTTTACATTGGATGCATTACAGCTTAGATGATCCTCAATAATACTGATGCTCTACAGATCACAAATAAGGTGAAAATGAGTCGCTCTACAGATTCCAATCAGCCAAAAAACATTCAGGTAAGCAACATTGAACCAAACCCAGAGTTTGTTTCTCTGCACTAAGAACAATTCTAAAATGAGAATAATTGAAATATCAACAGATTTTAACACTATTAAAAAAAATTTGAGTCTAATTTCTACTTCTAAAACAAACAAAACAAACATTTTTACTAGTAGTTCTAGTTCATTAGTATTCATGCCAAAATAAAAGAGAACCAACAAAATGAATGTTAAGGAGTTACCATAAAAGAAATTTTCTAGCAATCAAATCAGCCAAAATAAAACTTGAAATTTCTATAAAACTCACCCCACATCCAACATCAAGAACAGTTATTATCTTTCCAGATTTCAAAGGCACAACCTTCTTGATCAAATCAACATAACCCTTTACTCCCAGTTTAAAAGAAGTGCCACCACCAGGAAAAACAAAACGATCACCTTCTAACCGAACCCAGTTCTGAGATTTCTTAAACACAGACAGCTTCTTGAAAGGCACATTATTGAACCAAGCATAGTCTTTGCTCTTTGGCCACTCAAAAGGCCTTCTATAACCTACAGGCTTTGGTACCAAACACTTCACTCTTCTTCTGGGGCAATGCCTCTCTCTGTAAAAGAACCTTTCCACACTGAAGTCCTTTTCCAGTGAAGGGTCATGGCAAGGCAGGTAGTTGGTGAAGTTGTTGGGACAAAACTCAAATAAAAATGGAAGCTTTTGTGAAGATTGTGGAGGAAGAGTCAGAGTGTGGAGTGGAAGCTTAACGTTGGCCAATTGCTTATAACAGATAACAAGGTGTTTTTTACGTTCTTTAATCTTGTAAAAGGTCTTCCTTTCTCCTTCTCTACGTCCTCCTTTCTTCTGTTTACCTTACTCCTAATTTCTTCTCCTCCTCTCTCTTCCTTTCTTTTCTTTTTATTTCCCCTCCTCTCTTCTCATTCTCTCTATCATAAAAAAATAAATAAATAAATGAAAAGGAAAGGTGAAAAGGAAGGAAGAAAGGAAAGAGAAAGAATAAAACGTACCTGAAAACAATGTAGTGATGGAGGAGGAAAGGTGTAGTTTGCTTTAGAAAAAGCTTACAAAGAAAGAGAGGAGAAAATAAAATTAAAATGTATTAAGTTTGGTAAGAATACATAACTGCCCTCACTTATCTTGACTTGAATATGAGCATCATCATGTCTATATATTATTGTAACCCCATATACATATAACTTTTAATATACAAAAATTATCAGGCACAGATTTAGTTTCAAATAGCAATATCTGCAATCTAATAAGCTATCTATGCTTCTGGTACCCTGCTACTAGTATATGGCGACAAAGGGTGAGTGTCCTATTCTGCATTGTCAACCAACAGTATCTTCTCAGGATTAAAGGGTCCATTTTCACTGTGTAAAATCTTGCCATTTAATCTCATTCTATCTGTCATGTCTTTCACCTTCACTATCATATCCACATGATCTCTTATTATTATAGCTCCTTCCGGGCGAAGAATTCGATACATCTCGAGAAGAATATCAACAATATCACACCTGCACATAATCAACTCTAGTAAGAAATATATCTATATATGAACTTTCACTTGCATCCATGTCATCTATATCATGTGTCTTTGTATTCCAGAAATTGCAGTAGCTCATCAGAGTAGTCAAATCGAGAGAGCGTGAAATAAATGGAAATCAGGGTATTAAAGAAAAGAAACTAAGAAATTAAGTAGCAATATATAAGTTAACATTCAGACAACATCTTATTCATGTAAATGTGGGGAGGCTTTTGCAACTTAACCTTTGTAGCAATTTATCTACAATATAAAACAGCAGGCTTTGCAAACATTCTCATTCCAGAAATAGTAACAGGGTTTACACATTTCTATCTAGTTTCATACTTAGCTCAAACCTTAGGAAAAATAAGTTCTTCAACCGCAACCCCAAAAGGATGATGAATAAGAGCAAACTTAAGTAGTTTGCGGATAGATATAATCATCAAGATATCCAATGCATGTCTTTTAGTCTGACAGTTTTCGCTTTCGGATTCAATAGCATTATCACACAGAGAACCATTCAAAGGTAAAACAAGAATAATATATTTCCGCTAAAAAGGCAAGATGCAGCAAAGAAACATCAGAGAATGTAATTTTATAAGACAACTGCCAATAAGGTTATGAAATACTTACTTGTGCATATACAAGCTAAATATACCATAGGCATGTATCAAATCGTAAGTTCTAGGGTACGTTGAAAAGGCCTCACACCTGCGAGCAAGCAGAGTTGAATAATCCATAAATCAATTTTCAATTAATTTAAAAATAGTAGACAATGTAAAATGCACTTCAATTTGCGGTAAAGACACCACTTGGTCTTCAAAAAATATAAATCAATGAAGTCAAATGGTGACATACGAAATACAAACAATTTGTGGCATAGCTTTCTCTTCTTACAAGTGCAACTAGTGAGCCTCTAGTTAATGTGAAATATAAGATCACATGTCATCAAATTCCAAACAAGTTATGCAGCTAAGTAGTTACAACTGAATATAATGTTACTAGGCTTCTAGTGAAACTTTATTTACCGACTTGAGAACAACATTAGTAAAAGCAGGTTGAAGATAAAATAGGAAAGAAAAATTGAGCAGAAGATTCCATGTTAGTCTTACCAATCCATGTAGGTTCCAATAAGACCACGCTCATACAAAACTCCAAGTGTATTTTGTTTTCCATCATAAGGAACCACATTCATTACCCAAACTGGATAATTGGCCAGCGCAGCTGCAAACCCCCCTAACCCAGCATTCATGTCCATTACATTTCTAGTTTTACCAGAAGCAAGAGACTTAAGTATAATTCCATAGTAGGAAATTCTCTTTTTCCATAACTGGTTATTTTTATCAAAGGCCTTAACTGTTAGGCCTTTAATAATCCCACTTCTAATTCGAGGTGGAGCCCTATTCAACCTTTTAGGCCAACTCTCAAGAGCACCTCCAGATATATTGTGGATATCTTTAACATTTGGAAGAGGAGTAATGCATGGATCCATCTTCTTGTACCTGTTGAAGAATTCATAAACAACACAAATAGACAGAGGATAATTATCAGAAAAGTTAGGAACTTACATTGGCACATGAAAATTGTGCTATAATAATACAACATCAAGGAGATTCTAGAGGTTATGCATTGCATAAATTTTCTGCTATCATCTCTTGCAAAGAAAATGTTATGTTATATACATTCATAAATGGTAATCGAGAATTTGCAATGATTAGTACAACCTAACAGCCAATTCGGAAACCAGTAACCATATCACTTTCCTTGATAACCAGAATAAGTGTAATGAAGGTACTAACCAAACATCATCAGGATCAGTTGTAGCACAAAATTGTCCTGATCTCCGAACCTTTGATTTCCGGATGCAGTGCACATGATTAGTAGGCTTTTGCCACACCGCAATTGGTCCTCTCTCAGCAATTTTTTTCCAGCACAATCTCTTAGCAAGATCTTCCAAACTGATCTGCTCATTCTGCAAGTCCTTAGCCTCTCTCTCCCATCCTTTGTAGCTAGTCTTCCAACTGATAGGTGGTCCAGATAACACCCAATAGCCACCCGGACGTAAAACTCGATCTATCTCCATCAAGTAAAGCCCATCTAAACATATGAATTTGAATTAGCAAAAGATTAAGAACAGAAAGGAATACAAAAGATAGATAATAGCTTCTTTCGACTGTATGAATTTTCTGTGAGGTTAGAATTTTAACACTACATACATACAAAATGATTTGATTTCACACTAAATTTTGGCTCTAGTCTACTTATTATAGAAACGATTTTGGGTTTTTCAAAGATCATTTTACAATAAGATTATCTGCCATCTACTCATACTGATAGCTAACTTTTAGCAGCACCACTGGACTTCAAAGACCATAGAAGAAACCATGGAGAAACATCCTTTTTAACAATTGGTAATCATACATCCTTATCAGAAGATTCAAGCAAGAGTATACCATCACTGCTCCACGGCACAAGGCACCGAGAGCAATGTGCCATATCAAAAGATCTTGATGGATATGGAAGTCGATAGGTGCTTAGTATACCAAGCATCGCTGGAAGTCACCTTTCCAGGGCAAACTGTACTTGAGCTTCATGTATATCCCTGGGCGCAATTGACATTGTCAAGATGTCATAATTCATTAAAGCGGCTCCAAAGCTTGCAACCTGAGGAGAATGTAAAAACGAACATAGTTTGTCAAAAGTTTCAGCAGGGTTATGTTTGCAGTAGTTTGTCAGAAGTTTCAGCAGGGTTATGTTTGCAGCTGTTAATGATACTGATGCTTTACAGATAGCAAATTATGTGTAACAAATGCTCTATGGATTGCAAATTAGTTGAAAATTATTTGAGTAAGAAACCTTGAACCAAACCCAGAATTAGTTTCTCAGCACCAAGAACCCAAATTCTGTAATGGGAAAGCAACTGAAATAGGAACAGATTCTAACTACTTTTCTGCACACTGTCATAAAACCTCTGGGTCTAATTTCCAATTCTAAAACAAACAAAGTAGTTCTAATTCCCTATCCAAGCTTGCACTATTGTTATTAAATTTACCCTCCAAATAAAGTAATAATCAAGTAAATAATTGAAATTTCTAGCAATCAAAACAGGAAAAATAAAACTTGAAATTTCTATCAAACTCACCCCACATCCAATATCGAGAGCAGTTCTTAGCTTTCCAGATTTCAAAGGCACGACCTTCTTGATCAAATCAACATAACCCTTTGCTCCCATTGGAAAAGAAGTGCCACCACCAGGAAAAAACAAACGATCACCTTCTAATCGAACCCAATTCTGAGATTTCTTGGACACAGTCAGCTTCTTGAAAGGCACATTCCTGAACCAAGCATAGTCTTTGCTCTTTGGCCACTCAAAAGGCCTCTTATAACCAACAGGCTTTGGTACCAAACACTTCACTCTCCTTCCAGGGCAATGCCTCTCTCTGTGAAAGAACCTTTCAACACTGAAGTTCTTTTCCAGTGAAGGGTCATGGCAAGGCAGGTAGTTGGTGAAGCTGTTGGGACAAAACTTAAACAAAAATGGAAGCTTTTTTGAAGATTGTTGAGGAAGAGTGAGAGTGTGGAGTGGCTCAAAGTGAAGGGGAGGAGAAATGGGGAGGTGGGTTGTGGAATTAAGCTGCAAACAGTGTGAGGGATGGGGTAGAACTTGAAGGGGAGCTGCAGAGTGAGAGAAGACGTGTGTGTAAGAGCCAAGAAAGTAGGAAAGAGAAATAAGAATGGTGATGAGAAAGAGCTTAACAAGAAGTGCTGCCATTTGGAGATTTGCTTCTTTTGGTTATGTAAAATTTTGGAGGTCCAATGGTGTTGGACATGTGAATAAGGTAAGCATTGTTTTGAAGAGAAGTTCAGTTCCGAGGATAATCTGGGGACGGTAAAACCGTAAAAGTATGAGTAAAGGTCTTCAAAAATATCTTGGTGACGACTGACGAGCTTTATATTATTGTAACCCCATATACATATAACTTTTAATATACAAAAATTATCAGGCACAGATTTAGTTTCAAATAGCAATATCTGCAATCTAATAAGCTATCTATGCTTCTGGTACCCTGCTACTAGTATATGGCGACAAAGGGTGAGTGTCCTATTCTGCATTGTCAACCAACAGTATCTTCTCAGGATTAAAGGGTCCATTTTCACTGTGTAAAATCTTGCCATTTAATCTCATTCTATCTGTCATGTCTTTCACCTTCACTATCATATCCACATGATCTCTTATTATTATAGCTCCTTCCGGGCGAAGAATTCGATACATCTCGAGAAGAATATCAACAATATCACACCTGCACATAATCAACTCTAGTAAGAAATATATCTATATATGAACTTTCACTTGCATCCATGTCATCTATATCATGTGTCTTTGTATTCCAGAAATTGCAGTAGCTCATCAGAGTAGTCAAATCGAGAGAGCGTGAAATAAATGGAAATCAGGGTATTAAAGAAAAGAAACTAAGAAATTAAGTAGCAATATATAAGTTAACATTCAGACAACATCTTATTCATGTAAATGTGGGGAGGCTTTTGCAACTTAACCTTTGTAGCAATTTATCTACAATATAAAACAGCAGGCTTTGCAAACATTCTCATTCCAGAAATAGTAACAGGGTTTACACATTTCTATCTAGTTTCATACTTAGCTCAAACCTTAGGAAAAATAAGTTCTTCAACCGCAACCCCAAAAGGATGATGAATAAGAGCAAACTTAAGTAGTTTGCGGATAGATATAATCATCAAGATATCCAATGCATGTCTTTTAGTCTGACAGTTTTCGCTTTCGGATTCAATAGCATTATCACACAGAGAACCATTCAAAGGTAAAACAAGAATAATATATTTCCGCTAAAAAGGCAAGATGCAGCAAAGAAACATCAGAGAATGTAATTTTATAAGACAACTGCCAATAAGGTTATGAAATACTTACTTGTGCATATACAAGCTAAATATACCATAGGCATGTATCAAATCGTAAGTTCTAGGGTACGTTGAAAAGGCCTCACACCTGCGAGCAAGCAGAGTTGAATAATCCATAAATCAATTTTCAATTAATTTAAAAATAGTAGACAATGTAAAATGCACTTCAATTTGCGGTAAAGACACCACTTGGTCTTCAAAAAATATAAATCAATGAAGTCAAATGGTGACATACGAAATACAAACAATTTGTGGCATAGCTTTCTCTTCTTACAAGTGCAACTAGTGAGCCTCTAGTTAATGTGAAATATAAGATCACATGTCATCAAATTCCAAACAAGTTATGCAGCTAAGTAGTTACAACTGAATATAATGTTACTAGGCTTCTAGTGAAACTTTATTTACCGACTTGAGAACAACATTAGTAAAAGCAGGTTGAAGATAAAATAGGAAAGAAAAATTGAGCAGAAGATTCCATGTTAGTCTTACCAATCCATGTAGGTTCCAATAAGACCACGCTCATACAAAACTCCAAGTGTATTTTGTTTTCCATCATAAGGAACCACATTCATTACCCAAACTGGATAATTGGCCAGCGCAGCTGCAAACCCCCCTAACCCAGCATTCATGTCCATTACATTTCTAGTTTTACCAGAAGCAAGAGACTTAAGTATAATTCCATAGTAGGAAATTCTCTTTTTCCATAACTGGTTATTTTTATCAAAGGCCTTAACTGTTAGGCCTTTAATAATCCCACTTCTAATTCGAGGTGGAGCCCTATTCAACCTTTTAGGCCAACTCTCAAGAGCACCTCCAGATATATTGTGGATATCTTTAACATTTGGAAGAGGAGTAATGCATGGATCCATCTTCTTGTACCTGTTGAAGAATTCATAAACAACACAAATAGACAGAGGATAATTATCAGAAAAGTTAGGAACTTACATTGGCACATGAAAATTGTGCTATAATAATACAACATCAAGGAGATTCTAGAGGTTATGCATTGCATAAATTTTCTGCTATCATCTCTTGCAAAGAAAATGTTATGTTATATACATTCATAAATGGTAATCGAGAATTTGCAATGATTAGTACAACCTAACAGCCAATTCGGAAACCAGTAACCATATCACTTTCCTTGATAACCAGAATAAGTGTAATGAAGGTACTAACCAAACATCATCAGGATCAGTTGTAGCACAAAATTGTCCTGATCTCCGAACCTTTGATTTCCGGATGCAGTGCACATGATTAGTAGGCTTTTGCCACACCGCAATTGGTCCTCTCTCAGCAATTTTTTTCCAGCACAATCTCTTAGCAAGATCTTCCAAACTGATCTGCTCATTCTGCAAGTCCTTAGCCTCTCTCTCCCATCCTTTGTAGCTAGTCTTCCAACTGATAGGTGGTCCAGATAACACCCAATAGCCACCCGGACGTAAAACTCGATCTATCTCCATCAAGTAAAGCCCATCTAAACATATGAATTTGAATTAGCAAAAGATTAAGAACAGAAAGGAATACAAAAGATAGATAATAGCTTCTTTCGACTGTATGAATTTTCTGTGAGGTTAGAATTTTAACACTACATACATACAAAATGATTTGATTTCACACTAAATTTTGGCTCTAGTCTACTTATTATAGAAACGATTTTGGGTTTTTCAAAGATCATTTTACAATAAGATTATCTGCCATCTACTCATACTGATAGCTAACTTTTAGCAGCACCACTGGACTTCAAAGACCATAGAAGAAACCATGGAGAAACATCCTTTTTAACAATTGGTAATCATACATCCTTATCAGAAGATTCAAGCAAGAGTATACCATCACTGCTCCACGGCACAAGGCACCGAGAGCAATGTGCCATATCAAAAGATCTTGATGGATATGGAAGTCGATAGGTGCTTAGTATACCAAGCATCGCTGGAAGTCACCTTTCCAGGGCAAACTGTACTTGAGCTTCATGTATATCCCTGGGCGCAATTGACATTGTCAAGATGTCATAATTCATTAAAGCGGCTCCAAAGCTTGCAACCTGAGGAGAATGTAAAAACGAACATAGTTTGTCAAAAGTTTCAGCAGGGTTATGTTTGCAGTAGTTTGTCAGAAGTTTCAGCAGGGTTATGTTTGCAGCTGTTAATGATACTGATGCTTTACAGATAGCAAATTATGTGTAACAAATGCTCTATGGATTGCAAATTAGTTGAAAATTATTTGAGTAAGAAACCTTGAACCAAACCCAGAATTAGTTTCTCAGCACCAAGAACCCAAATTCTGTAATGGGAAAGCAACTGAAATAGGAACAGATTCTAACTACTTTTCTGCACACTGTCATAAAACCTCTGGGTCTAATTTCCAATTCTAAAACAAACAAAGTAGTTCTAATTCCCTATCCAAGCTTGCACTATTGTTATTAAATTTACCCTCCAAATAAAGTAATAATCAAGTAAATAATTGAAATTTCTAGCAATCAAAACAGGAAAAATAAAACTTGAAATTTCTATCAAACTCACCCCACATCCAATATCGAGAGCAGTTCTTAGCTTTCCAGATTTCAAAGGCACGACCTTCTTGATCAAATCAACATAACCCTTTGCTCCCATTGGAAAAGAAGTGCCACCACCAGGAAAAAACAAACGATCACCTTCTAATCGAACCCAATTCTGAGATTTCTTGGACACAGTCAGCTTCTTGAAAGGCACATTCCTGAACCAAGCATAGTCTTTGCTCTTTGGCCACTCAAAAGGCCTCTTATAACCAACAGGCTTTGGTACCAAACACTTCACTCTCCTTCCAGGGCAATGCCTCTCTCTGTGAAAGAACCTTTCAACACTGAAGTTCTTTTCCAGTGAAGGGTCATGGCAAGGCAGGTAGTTGGTGAAGCTGTTGGGACAAAACTTAAACAAAAATGGAAGCTTTTTTGAAGATTGTTGAGGAAGAGTGAGAGTGTGGAGTGGCTCAAAGTGAAGGGGAGGAGAAATGGGGAGGTGGGTTGTGGAATTAAGCTGCAAACAGTGTGAGGGATGTGGTAGAACTTGAAGGGGAGCTGCAGAGTGAGAGAAGACGTGTGTGTAAGAGCCAAGAAAGTAGGAAAGAGAAATAAGAATGGTGATGAGAAAGAGCTTAACAAGAAGTGCTGCCATTTGGAGATTTGCTTCTTTTGGTTATGTAAAATTTTGGAGGTCCAATGGTGTTGGACATGTGAATAAGGTAAGCATTGTTTTGAAGAGAAGTTCAGTTCCGAGGATAATCTGGGGACGGTAAAACCGTAAAAGTATGAGTAAAGGTCTTCAAAAATATCTTGGTGACGACTGACGAGGGTCTCTCTCTCTCTCTCTCTCTGCCCTTTAGACTCTCTTCTCTGCTTATGCTGTTCCTTTTTTGACTTTTCTTTGGGAAATTATTGCAAGAGTTACAAAAGCGGGAGATTTTCATATTCTGCCACGAGGTTTATCGTTGAGTTAATATTCAATTCATGACATTTTTCATTTTTCAAGAAATCATGAAAACCTGTCCTCAAGGCTCAAGCCCTAACTTCATAGAAGAAACATTTATGATTTAACTAATGTCCAAGGATATTAAACTAGTAAGTTTATAGAAATTTCAGATTTAGCTTATCACATACCTCCCCTAAGGTTTCAGCTTTTCTCAAATTACCACCATATGTTTCAGAAACTCTCAAAAACATCCTTACGAAATTAAAGTGAAAGGGCAATTCTAAAAGAAAACCAACAACCTGCGGGGGCATCACTTCCCACCCTCCTACAACCCAACTGCCGCAACACCTTGCCTGCACAACCAGCCCCAACCTTGTAAAATCCATCATCCCCGCACTACGCAACCCAATGCAAACTTCTCCCCTTCAAATACAACGAAAATCGCAAACTCAGAATTGTTGATAGTCGCCGGAAAAGAAGAAGAGAAGCCACCCATTGCAAGCAGCGGTGTGGGCATGTCAGATTTTAATGACTTGTGAAAAAAAGTCTTTCTTTCCTTCCCGAAAGCGTAGAATAATTATTCTAACCCCGAAAGCGGTTTATAATCTCCTAAGTGCGAAAGCAATTCGTTAACGAAGGCTATAACGGCTTATAAAAGACAATCTCCTTTATAAGAGTGAAGTGGAGGAGCAAGAAGCCCAGACCAGAATGAGAAAGAGAAGTCGAAAAACCTTGCAAGACTCTTTTCTGGGAAGGACGAAAGTGCGACGGACGGGAGAGACAGTTTTGTTTGAAAGTTTCTTCCTTGAGTTAAATTACTCTCAAAATAAATAAATATTAATATATAAGAATAAAATGATAATATATTTTATGTAGAATAAATTTGCGAATTGCCATTAGGAAACGTTATAGAGGGGGGTATCTGAGGAAGTGGAAACCAGAGGGAGGTTTCTAGTCAATTTAGTAAATTTTTTACAATATGGTAGTAATTTGAGAAAGGCTGAAACCTCAGCGAAGGTATTTGCCAAGAAACCTCAAATTCGTTGCACTTTTATAATCAATTAACTAAAGCTTAGGGGTATTTTAGGAAAATCCTCTCTACATGAGTATATGTCTAGAACAAAAGCTTTTAAAAAAAAAAACAAAATTGATTCTTATGTTTTTTAAGGGAGAAAAATATAAACACTGAAGCAGATTGAGAAAGTGATATACAGCTAGAATAAATACGTTTTTTAACAAGTTACCCCATATAGACTAATGTAACTGGTAGAATTAATAGTGTTTTTAATCAACTTATCTCATATTAAATTAATATATTGGTAAGTCCACATATTATTAAGCTTTTAAAGAGATAATAACTAACATAGTATTAGAGCCAAAAAAATTAATTTTGAATCCTCACAATCAATTAAATTAAGAAAAATGAAAAAGATATAACTTGCCCTTAAAATCCTTCATAGGCCTCAAATATAAAAGTGTGGAGAAAAGAATTAATTGAATAGAAAAAAAAAAAATACTGAAAAGAGACGGTTACAGTGAGGAGGTGCAGTGGAAAGGTGGGGTAGGTTAGTCGTGATCTTGCTTAAGGGCACCACATGGCCTGCAAGGCCACAATTGCGATCTTGCTTAAGGTTGTCGATGTGGCCTTCCACATCGGGCCTAGCTTGAGTCGTCAATTGGCTTCCACCCATCACGGCTTTGCTTTAGGTCGTGGAGGGGCAGGTTGCTTGGCAGGGGGACAAGTCTATAATTGAAGTATGAAGGAGTCAAATAAATGATTTTTAGGACTAGAAAGATATGATGGATCATGAATTGTGTAGTTACAACTACATTTAACACATTTATTAAAACTTATAACTATAATTATTATTGGTATACCTAAAAAAATCAAGGTGACGTAAGCTTACATCAGCGAATACCAATCAGAGTTAAGATGGTTGACATCGCTCAAAATCTGTCATGGTCCAGATAGAGAGAAATACGGTTGTCACCAACTAGCATGCTCTAGCTTTGTTTATGAATGAATGAGGTTTGCATACTTGTCTAAGCCCCATATAATTTAAGGATATTTCATAAGTTATCACCAATGGGATAAAAGGAAGGACTTACACGGCACCTACCCACTTACAAACAAATTGTAATCATTACCTTGAACTCAGGGCTATAAATAGATGACTCTCCTCACAAAATCGGATCTCTGATTTTCATTAAAATAAATAGCAAAGACAATCTACGAAAAAATGATTGGTTTAATACTCTCTCTGAATACAAACTCTTGTAATTTTGTTCGCAGTTCACGACCTTGTAAATTGTCTAATAATCAATAACACACATATAAAAGAAATAATGAATGTAAGAATCGCTTTAAGAATCTGAACCACTATAAAATTCTTACTATCTCATTTACTATTAAGTCTTTGCATTCACTATGCCTAGCCTAAATCTCGTATTAAATACGTGTAATTTCTAAGAGTGTTTAACACTTTACACGTGCTTAACACTTTACACGTGCGAGGTCTTGGTGTTAAAATCAAGCATCAACCAATTATTCACTTAAAATTAATATTTGATTATAAAAGATATGACATTAATTTATACCATATATTTAGATGATATCAGATTAATTAAATTAGCACAGAGATTAAAGTAACACTATTCTCAATATAATATAAATAATTTACTAAAGCATCATGTATCATTTATAATAAGGCTCTAAATGAAGCCGAAAATAGATTTTTATTGAATATGATATAATATATATATATATATATATATATAATATATATATATATATATATATATTATATATATATATATTATATATATAATATATATAAAGCCGAATACCCCTCTTGGTTGATCGACACGTGCACATTTTGAACTCATTTTGGGGATTTAGAATTTCCATTTTGACACATAGATTTGTGCTGTCATGTGGTTGAATTTATTGATGATGATGTGGACAGATATTAATTGTTCATTGGTATTCAAATCCAAAGATAAAAGCATACCTGTTTGAGTGGCACGTAAGACATTTTTTTTTTTTTTTTTTTTTTGAGCTCTAGAATTGCTCTCTCTTGCCACGTTGGATGTATGGTTAATGGATATTAATGCACTGCATTGATATTCCAAATGTTCATATCAACCCAAACTTTTTCTGATTAGGTTAATGAGATATTAATGCACTGCATTGGGATTCCAAAGGTATCTCATCTGATTTCATTACGTAGTACATTACCCAAACTTTTCTTGATTAGGTTTAATAAGATTTAATGCACTGCATTGGTATTCCGAAGGTTCATATCATTAGGATTGCTATTAATAATATATAGGTGCATTGTATTGACATTGCAAATTTTATTGTATTCAATTCGTATTTAATTGTGTGGCATTCGAAATGTCTAAATAAGTGGTTAAAAATGGCGGTATGTCAGTTGTGTATTATCGCAATATTTAGTTGATGCATAATACGTCCAATCTTTTATTAATTGTTTATAGGACATGTTAGTTTGTGTCAAAATACGTCTGTTCTTCATGATTTTGTTAATCGATGATTTTTTATTTATTTATGTTTTTGTTGTGTTTACAAGTCAAAGATTCATGAATTGGCATTAATAAAGGCAGATGTCTAATTGACATTGTAAATAAGTTGTTATTTGATTCATTCTTCTAAACTATAAGTAATCTTATAACTATTTAATATGAAAAGTAAGTATATCTCCTAAGTATCTTAATGGTTATTATTTGATTGAATGATTGTTTTTGTTCGGTCAATCTATTTGAATGAAATTGTGTTAGTCATGTGCGAACGGTAAGTGTATTCCTTAACAATTTTAATATGAAAATTAATTAATTTTGTTGATTTCGTTTTCAGGAAACAGTTGTTATACGAATGAATAATTGTCCTAACAATCTAATATGAAGATCGATTAAATTTTGTTATGTTTGTTTTAAGGAAATGTTTATGTACTTTACTAAGATCAAATCGAGGGTGATCTTATTGTCAGCTGAACTATAAGTATGTGTCAATCTATATTAGTAGAAACAGTTCATTTGTCTGAATTGCTTTCTATAAAAACATCATGTATTTTAATTTGTCATATGAATGATTAATTGTTCATGTCCTACTGATGTGCAAATATATATGTTAAATGAATTAATTTTGGCTGATTTGTTTTCCAATTAATAAGTATTATTTAAAATATTTATTATTAGTCATAATATGATAATCCCTTAAATTTGGGTTAAATAAACTATTCATTTTATCATCACATACATTTCAGTTTCTACTAAATAGTCGGTAGTAAATTGAACATAACTTGCTTAATAAAATCCAAATGTGAGAGGATTGAATCTTTAGAAACTAGACATACATTGCTTAATTTGATATATTGTACACTTAATTTGGATAACTGTAGCCCCATGCCAAACTATTACTTTTTCATCACACACATTCTGGCTTCTATTGAACAGTCAGTAGTAAATTGACCATAACTTGCTCAATAAAATCCAAATGATGAGAGGTTAAATATTAGAAACTAGACAAAATAGGGATCTAAATTGATTTATTATACAATTATTTGGATAACTGTAACTCACTTCGAACATTCTTTTATCATCAAACACATTTTGGTTTCCCCTGTTCTCGATTTTCATTGGACAGTCAGTAGTAATTGCATACCATGCTCAATAAGCATCCAATTGATGAGTGGTTTAAATTTTTGAAAACTAGATAGATAGGAAATTAATTTGATATATTATAAGCTTAATTTGGATAATTATAGCCCTACTTTCGAACCATTCCTTTTATCATCACATACACTTCGGTTTTCACTGAATATTCAGTAGTAAATTGACCATAACTGCTCAATAAAACTCCAATTGATGAGAGGTTTGAATCTTTAGAAACTACACAGCAAATGATTTAATTTGATATATTATACGCTTAATTTGAATAACTTTAGCCCCACCACAAACATTCCTTTATATCACATATTTCAGTTTCCATTGAAC